CCAAAAAACATTGGGACTTGGCCCTTGCACTATCTGTAAACAGAGACTGACTATGTTGCCCACACATAACTGGGGTTGTAATGGTCACAGTAATATGTAAAGGTGTATTGCTGACTTAACGGCAAGATGCCCCATCAAGATACAGCAATACACTGTCTACTCCATGTCTAGGAGGTGACCAGTTACCTGGAGTTTTATAGTAATTGGGGCCAATTTAGGGGCAGTGATGCAAATCTGCAGAATCAATTCCTCATCCTCAGACTGATTTATTTGCAAAGCTCTGTCTTGAGGTGGCTTCATTCTTTGAGCTGGGAGGTACGTTTGGCCTATTTCAGTAGCCCTATCTGGGATGAACTCTGTGACCACAAGTGCAATATGGATGCTCTTGCTCCTCAGTGTATTGTGGAGACACTTGCCATTGAGTTCTGGAACCTCTCAGCCTTTGACTCCATTCACCCTGCCTGAGCAACAAACAAAAGCCGTGAGTATTATCTGCTGGGGACTTGGCTCTGCGTTACAGGAATCATCCAAGGCTGAGGACGGCACTATAACCCCCTGAAAATGCCAAGTTCCTTTTCCTGTGTTTCTGTAGGAAAGGGTCAGTTCTATGGCTTTCTGGAGGTCCAGATATGATTTGGGTCAGTAGCTTCCTTCAGGTCGCAAAACTAAGCAATCCCTTAATATTTCCCAAAGTGCTCACCTGTATTCAGTGTTCTACCAATTTCCAGAATTCAGTAACTGGTTCCCCAGGAAGTCTGTCTGTTAAATGTCTAAAGCTTCAATATCGCACATAATTTTGGCACATAATGGTGGGGGAACACTATCTATCAGAACATCAAAAGATTTTGACTCCAGCATTCAGAGACAGGTTAAACGTTTTATGAAGCTGAAAGTCAGAGCCGCCCAATCAGTCTGAGGAAAAAAAATTCTGATTCTCCAGTCCCATTTACCTGAAAAAAAATCTTTTTTTCTGTATACTAGGACCCATTCCTCCACACTTGCATCAGTAGGTTCCATTGTTTTATATAGGGTTTTTTTTTTATATATTTCCTTGTCAAAGTCTTACTGGGTTTGTTGAAAGGCAAGGTTATCCAAAACTCAGGAACCCCGATTGGAAAGAGGCATCAAAATATAGCCCCTACTCATGGTCTACAAAGGCTAGGCCGAGCCTAGGGACAAACAGTTCCACAGACTACAGGTCAGCTTATATAGATCCTGAAGTGCTCTTACACACAATGAAACAGCTTTCCCAACACTAAAATACCATGTCATTTTTTTTCCCCCCATTTACCAACCACCATCTGAGTCATCTGTGCTGCCAATTAGATACTTACATGCAAAGCCCATTATAAACAATGTAAACCATCAAAAGTGAGAGGGGTTAGGGAAAATAGGAAGGAGAAATAAAGCACTGCATTCCCTACAGTGCCCACCTCTCTCTAAAGGTATTGATAATGTCGGTGAACGCTGCATGCTTCCTCTCCAAAGACACCCAGGCATGAATGTAACTGTGGAATGGATCTCCATTTTTTTTTTTAAATTCTGGAAGTGTTTTCAACCACCAAGTCACTATTACCTTTTCTCCCCCCCCAATTACAGACCACTACCAGAAAATCAGTGGTGCAGCCAATTTGATATTTACAAGCAAAGGCCAAACAGGGAATACAAACCATCAAATTGAGGGAGTGGTTGAATGGGTCTACTTCATTTTTTTTTTAAAAAAAAAACTTGTATAACCAGAAGTGCTCTTACACAAAACTGCACAGCTTTCCCCCGACTACATCACCATGACTATTTTTTTGTTTTAAACTTATAACTGCCACCAGTAAAACACTCATAGTCAATTTGAAATTTACATGCAAAGCATCAAAAGTACGGGTAAGGGACAGAGAGACGGAAGAGGCTAAATCAACTGGAGTTGGTGGGATAAAATAAAGCATTATATCCCCTGCAGTTCCCACCTCTGTCTAAAGGCATTGATGGACACTACATGCTCCATCGTCTGATACCAGAGCACAAACATAACTACAGACAAGGAATGGTCTGTTTAATATAAGGTTCTGGTGATGAGCTCCAGCTAAATGGGCCAATGCCTGTTGCCAAGGGTACTCATTCTCAACAAGCTCCCCAAGGACATTAATTCATGATTCTCCACAGGCCTTATTACAGACCAAGATGAGAAAAAAAATTTCTTCATACAGAAGGTAGTGAACTTGTGGAATTCTACCACTGAAGGCTGTAGAGGCCAAGTCATTAAATATATTCAAGAAAGAGAACAATACATTATTAGATTTTAAGAGCTATGGGAATATGGGATTGACACAGAGGATCAGTCATAATCATACTAAATGAAGTAGACTCAAAAGAGCAAATGGCTTGTTCCTGACCCTAGTTTCTGTTTCTACATAAGGCCAGGGAGCTTGTTATAGTTGTCAGCTATCACATCAAGAGGGATAGCCACTTAGAAGATCCTGGCACAGTAAGTCAAGAGCAGCTTCTAATAACAGTCTAAAGCCTGCAGAAGGCAGTCAGGATCCTCTCCCATGAAGTGAGAATGCCAGCTGAAGTCTTTCTGCCCTGCTTTGGGCTGTTTTCCTCGTGGAATGGAAGAGACAGGTATTACGTGAGTGGCACAGATATCACACAGATTTTGGTGCTGGTTGGGAGGTGTCCCAAGTCAGTGAGTAGGCAGCACAGAGGGCATGCAGGGATAGTAGCGTCCAGGGGGTTGGTGTGGGTGAAGGTGGGGGTGGGTAAGGATGATGCTGCAGGCAATGGGGAGAGTGGTAAAGCATGCACCTTAGTGGCAGGTCTCAACAGCTTTCCTGGTTAGGATTGGAAGAGTGGCAGGGTGTGGAAAAGGAACGGCTAAGATCCCTCCCTTCAAATTAAACCTTGTGCCATCAGCCACCTTCCCATTTAAACAAGTGAAAAGGGCTATTCCCCCCAATTCAATTGAAACATTAGATACTTACAGTTGTAAAGACTAATTTTTTTTTTTCCTTTGCATTTTTGATTGTGGACTGAAATGGAAAGGAAACCAAGGAATTTTCAAAAAGCACTTTTTAAAAGCAGGCTACCCGTGCTCACAGTATGTGCTGCATATACTGTTGCTTATTCAAGCAGGTAGGAGGGGGTAGCTGTTATTGCATACAATCTGGAGCTAGGGAATATGTACAAAGGAAGATTTAGTCAGCAACAAGTAGCTGATTGACATCTTGTCCCACTCCATAGATCAATGGCAAAGGCCTTCCAATGACTGACAACTCAGTGATTAGCTTCCAGGTCACTGAACAGATTGTCGGTAGAAATGACACTGACAGAAGCCTTTGCAGATCCAGAAAAGGAGGTCACGTCCGTCTTTCTTTCTACAGTAAAAAGAAGAACCTAAAGCCTAAAGAAAACCAAATCTTCCTCAAAGTTCTTGGTTTTAACCAATCAGTCAGAGATTTCATAAATTATGAACTATTACTTCTGTGCTTCCTGCAACGAAGAAGTGAAAGTACCTGGGGAAGAGACCAAACACTGTCAAAGATGTGGACTTCAGGATTCTATGATACTGCCCTTTTTTTTAAAAAAAGTGTGGAAACAGGCCATTCGGCCCAACAAATCCACACCGATCCTCCAAACATCATCCCACCCGGACCCATTCCCCTACCCTCTACCTGTAACACTGCATTTCCCATGGCTAATACATATAACTACACGTCCCTGAACACAATAGCTATGCCAAATTTGCCCAATCTACCCCAGTGTGCACATCTTTGGACAATGGGAAGAAACCAGACCACCTGAAGGAAACCCAAGCAGACACAGGGAGAATGTATGTGTGGAGATGGCACAGTCATCCAACGGTGAAATTGAACCCAGGTCTCTGATGCTGTGAGGCAGCAGTGCTAATCACTGAGCCACCATGCCATATAAGAGGACAAAGGGAGCAAAGAGACTTTAGTAAGCAAATCTGAAGCATGGGTAAAATACAAAATGTACTTGATCCAGGAAGACTGAATAAATGAGTATAGGAAAGATGAAAAACTGCATTTTTCTGTCGCTGGCACATTATCCAAAGGCTAGTTATGAAGACAAAAACAAAACTCCCCTGCCAACATACAGCTTGCAAAAATATGTTCTTATTCAATGTACTGGTTAGAAAATAATGGTCCAAATCTCTTGACCAGGGTTGGAAACCCAATATCTGACCCTATTCAGATAAAAGCAATACACACTTATCTTCCTTAATCATCTAAATTTCTAAATGAACTTTTTGAAGAGTTGTTAGAATCAACTCAGGGGAGCAAACTTCAGACTGAACAGGGAAGCACAGAAAAGCCAAAAACCCCTTTGGACAGCACTACTCACCATAACACACCAGCTGAACTGTTTAAATGTCCAAAAGTCTATTTGAAAAGGTACTAAGAGAAGGATAATGTGGGAAAGAGGTTAGGATAGATAAAGTAAATGGAAAGGGTGGCAAGTAAATGTGAATACAGTTGAATTGGGCTCAGGAAAGAAATTAGATCTGAGCTAGTTGGGTCAGGTCAGGTCTGGACACGCAGATGTCAGGTTGGGATGGGGGTTAGATGGGAGATATTTAGTCTAAGTGATTGAAGATCAGTTGTATGATCACTCTGGAGTTAGGCTAGCAATTTTCTGTATACCATTTCCTGGTTAAGTGTCCAGGAAATCAAGTCAGAATGGTCCAACAGCAGAGCTCAACAGCATGCTCAGAGTCAGAGACTTTTCAAAGGGCTTCAAGAAGGGAAATTGTCCATCAGAAGTTCTAATTTCCCAGTGAATTCCCATGGAGTCAGTGTGCTCAGACTTCAGAGGGGTCCCTTAGCACATCTTCCAGAATACATCCAGTTTCTGACCACAGCCCAGAATATCCAGGCTGTTAAGTGATAGTCAGGTCCCCTGTTAACACAAGTTGGAATTTTTCATTCACTTCACAGAAGCTTAACTGCAACCAATACTTTTTAGGAAGTAATACAAGTGCAACAGAAGGAGAAAAATATTTATTCTAATGTACAATTCAATTGTATTAAAATGAGACAAAATAATATGCAGAATGTGAGACTTTAAAAGACTCCAATACATACTCAAAATTAGGAAACAGTTCCAACTTGTTAGACCGCCAAAATATTCTGGTAACATAATCATTTGTAATTCTTTTGACAGGTTTTTTTGCTGCTTTCTATAATACACATCTTTGTAAAACTGATGAGTTTTTTTTTAAAAACTAGATTTACAATCTAAAGTACATGTAACTGAAATGTCCATAGCTAAACTCAGTCAGTATAATACACTGGGGCCCTATTACAACACAGTCTGGTTTAGGCAAAACTATCACAGTGGCTTCTTGCATCCCAAAGTCTTCTTTTAAATTTCTTTTTACCCAACAAGCAATTGAATAGAATGAAAAACTGTGCCAAACTTTTTTCATTTCCAGTCACATTTAGAACCAGCTAATACAATGGCAGCCTAGTGACAAATTCAACAGCTCAGCCAGGGAACTGTTACCATTGTTACTGAACTCAGGTTTTTCTCTGCATAAATAGTGATCATATTTAGGACGCAGCCATGTGTACTTGTGCAGTTATGCAGACAATTAGTCAGTGTAACAGATCCAAATGTTCAAGACGTTCAGTAAGCTGATGATGATTATGCCAAGACCAAACCTCCGTCTCCATCACATACAGTAATCCACCACATAGGGGAATGACTGAGCTGGTTGGAAACATATGAGAAATCATTTGCTGCAATTTCAGAATATCCTACATCAGTAAAGGAAGAGGCAAGGAGTAAACATACCCAGTTGAAAATGATAGATTTCTTCAATATATGTCCATTAGTGTAATAAATGGATTCCGATTTTGTTGATTGTACCCTCTTAGACACAATTTTTGTGTCAGCTGTAAGAGTTAGAACTCACCATCTGCAAATTTGAATCATTTGATCATATGTGTATTCACATTTTTGTTACCAGAAGAAATAGTATTTGGTATTTTATGGAATGGATTTAATTTTGTTAGTGAAGGCTTTTTCTTGTTTATATCAGATCAGATGATACACTGGTTTAGGAAGCTGTTTTCTTCAATTTATCTGCAGTTCTTCATTATTCTGTCTATTGCTTTGGTGCTTTTAATGTCCTTACACAGTCTCGTGATATAGTCTCCATGGATCACAATGTAGTGGGCTCCTAGTGTATTTCCTCAACTATAGAAAACATTTATCCTTCATGTTTGAGCTAGATACAGCTGGAGGAAACCTGGAATTTCACACCAAGTGTTTTGTTTTAAAAATCATTGACACGATTTTAAACTAGCACTTGATCATGAATCTTCATCTCCATAATTTGTGTATTCTAAAATCATAAATGACAAGTTTTTTTTGTCCCATGTAATTAGTTTCTGTTGCAAAATCATGTCTCAACCATGTCTTAAAGCCACATAAAATTGGAACTTTAGTTCAAATGTACATGATGAAAAGTTATGCATAAAAAGGAATGTTGCCACTTATGTTACAACCCACCCTGCAGATATCTTGTAGAATATGATGAGTGGAGATTTCTTCAGATCACTACACTTCTACCGCTACGCGAACTCCCCCGATCCTGTCAATAAAAGAACATTAGATTTCAGTTTGTGAGCAATACTAACACTTACAGCTATTATTTCATGCAACCTCAACATTTTCACAAAATTAACAGACATAGTATAAAACAGAACTTCAAATTTCCATACTGGCAATAAAGAATCATCTTGCATCTCCAAAAAAATAATATAACAACTCCCACGGACATGTTTTTCATTATTTTCTGTAACCATACTTCTAGTATTGCAAGTCTGGAATTTGATAATGCTGATATTTTGTTTTAATGTTTAATTGATTGCATTAATTAAATGATATATTAACAGAAGAACCTCAACATAAGTGCAAAGTCATTTTTCCTATAGGGTATGATTCTCTACATAACCCAGTCAAGATCAGGAACTTTTTTAGGTATGACTGTACCCAAGAAACATAACATCACTTTCAAAATGTACAATACACTAGAATATGACTCAAAAAAGCACAGTAACAGAAATTACTATATTGTAAGACAAACAATATCATATTGCTAAAAAGGATAACTCACTGACTGTCGTCCATGATTGGATCTTCGTGCACTGCTTTCCTCTGAACCACCATCTACAGAATGGTAGCTTGGGGGCTTCTCGTGATACTTAAATGGCTTCTTCAAGGCATCCAACCATTCTGCCATTCGATCATCCGACCGCACCCGGTTATATCGAGAGCGGTTATCATAATCATCCAGGGAACTCCATGATCCTTGTCGTCTTCCACGAGGTGGAGGAGAATAGCTTTGGTCTCTGCGCCCATTTCTTCTTTCAGGTGAATAATCTCTATTACTTCGGCGATGTGGTCGTCTGTTCTCCTCGTAACCTCTTCTGCCATGCCTCTGGTTTGAGCTGCTGTGTCTCGACCGGTCCTCATAATCAGAATCATCACTATAATATTCGAAATTCTGTCTTCTTGGGAGCAACTGACCTCTCTGCCGGCCATCTTCAAAGTCATCTCTCCTATTCCCTTGAGATCGATTAGTTCTTCGGTCGTGAGAGCTCCTACTGGACCTTGATCCTTCCTGGGACCTTTGACTTCTGGGGAGCCCCATATCCAAAATATCCTCATGACTTCTAGCCCTTCTTTGATTATTTCTCCGAGAGGAGTTGCTAGTTCTTTGTGATGAAGGAAGACTAGTGTCATGGACTGTCTCCATTATTGGAGGTAGGTGGATAACACGACGATCTATTTCTCTAACTCCAATTTCATTTAGTGATGAAAGCACACTGGGAGGCCCACTTCCACTTGTACGAATTCCATTTTGCAGAGGCTGTACAGGGTTCAAGTTTTTCACCTCGTTCTCGATGTAGTCTAGCATTTTAACAGAAGAGTTTGGGTGACCACTGTAAGGGACAACAGTCAATGGTATACTGTTCTTTGTGGAAAAATCTACACAATGGAAACAGAAAAATAAAATTAAACTTTGTGTACAAGTTTTTGAAGTACCTTCAAATGTGTTTAAATAAAGTAATGGAAGATATTGATAGCAAGGCAATTAGCAGAGTTACAAATGAAAGTAAATCCAGAAAGGTGGCTGAACATAAAAAGGTGAGAAAGAATTCCGTAAGAAATAATTTAAAATACAGTGTAGCAAAATACACAGTATCCAGGGGAGCTAGAGACAAATCATGCTTTAGGATTGAGATATGATACTAAGAAAATCTGGACTGGAAATTAAACATTGTAGAATGCAAGAGATAACACACAGCGTGCAGCTGGAGGAACACAGTAGGCCAGACAGCAGAGGAGCAGGGAAAGTTGACGTTTTGGGTGGGGGCCCTTCTTCAGAAACAGATTCTGAAGAAGAATCCCGACCCGAGATGTCAACTTTCCTGCTCCTCTGATGTTGCCTGGCCTGCAGTGTTCCTCCAGCTGCACGCTGTTTTTTCTGACTCCAGCATCGGCAGTTCTTACTATCTCATTGTATAATGCAACATGTTTCAGCAAACACAGGAAAGGAAAAAAGAGGAAGGTGGCGAAACTTGCACCATAATAGAATGGTTGTAGATAAAGAGTTACAGTTATCCATGTGAAAACCAGAATCATACGTAGACAGTGTAATGAGTCCCTTTTTTAAAAAAAAAAACAGAGTGTAATGTACAGACTATGTAGTAACTGAAAGGAGGTGGGGTAAGAAATATGCAAAGAAATTAGGAAATTAAGTTAATTGAAATGATAATATAATGGAGATTTTAACCACCCTGAAATTTGATGGAAGAGCTAGGTGCAGGGGATAAGGGAATGGAGTTCTACAATCTGTACATATTCCTTTCTAATTCAATAGAATAAAAAGCCCAACAAGGAAGATTTACTATTGGATCTAGAATTGGATTTCTGACGGTCAATGGCCAGAAAGTTACCATTAGTCAGAAAATGAACTGGACTAGCCAAATAAATACTGTAGCTGTAGGAACAGGTCAGAGGCTTTGAATTTTTAAAAATTCCTTCATGGGATGAGTGCATCGCTGGCTAAGCCAGCATCTATCACCTATCCCTAATTGCCTAGACGGCAGTTCAGAGTCAACCACATTGCTGTGGGTCTGGAGTCATCTGTAGGTCAGACCAGGTAAGGATGCTAATTTCTTTCCCTAAAGGGCGTTAGTGAACCAGATGGTCTTTTCTGACAATTGACAATAGATTCATGGTGTTCAAAGTTGGGTTGAGTATTTGTAGATTGGAAGGCAGGATGTTTGAATTTGATGTTGGTACAATATTGGTGTTTGTAAAGTGCTAGGTGGGTGAGGTGGGGGGGGGGAAAGCATTGCGTTGTCCCTTTAAAAGATTGTGCTTTTTCTGTGCTCAGAGAGGTGGGTGAGCAGCTTGAAAGTTTGCAAGTACAGAGAGCACCCGAATTGAAACATTTGTATCGAAAGGCTGTACTGTTAGCAGGCCAAGCAGCATTTTTACCAAGACAACAGGTTTTTGAATTTAGCCAATCAATCAATTTCAACCAGGCACTTAGATACCAAAAACCTATCAAATTTGAATCTGATGGTTTTGACAACTTAGGACCAATCCAATTGTAAGAAATTGATATGCCATCAGGGGTAAAAAAAGGAAGGGAGCAGTTGGAAAATCGGCAGAACTAACTGCCATCTGCGAGAGTTAACAGCTTTCAGCTCTCAAGAGAGAGTCACTGGCTCTCACAATCTCTTCCAGGTCTTAGAGAAAGCACCTCCTAAATATCAAAAGGTACAACGGCACAACTAGTTAATATTCCTGACAGAATTGTCAGAGAAGGCGTTCCTGATAGAACATTCAATGGAGAAGAGACGGAACATATTGGAAGATACGTAACCTGGCTATATTCCAGACTAAATTCTACTTGTTAAAAAAAAAAAATTTATATTATGTAAGTGGGACTTGTATTTATTGGAACAGCACACTATTAGAATCTTGTTTTATTTGAGAATAGTTAGTAGTTAGAAGGGATTATTCTGTTTGTTAATAGTTTAGTTAATTTGTTCATTGTTAAAGTTAGATAAATAAATTGTTACTTGTTGACTGTAAAGTGAGTGTCAGTGGTTTAATTTTATTTAACCACCAGAATTTTCTGAAAGGTAGGTCAACACCACTTTTCACACACTCCTTTTACAGATACTAGGGGGAGGTGCTCCTCTTTGGGCGCTTCACAAAGTTCACAAAGCGGTGGGTGGGGGTGGGGTCAACCTCCACTTTATAACAATGATCACCATTCGACTCTTAATTCCACAAATTTATTGAATTCAAAGTGCACCATTTTCCATGGTGGGATTCAAACCCAGGTCCCCAGAACATGACCTGGGTCTCTGGATTAACAGTGCAGAGATAATACCACTAGGTGATTGCCTCCCTTTGGGAACTACAACTCATTTTGACACTCCGAAGCCTTTCCAGTATCTACAAGACTCAGGTCAGTTCTGTGAAAGAACACACTCCACTTTCCTGGAAGAGTACAGCTTCAACAATATTCAAGATTAACACCATCCATTACAAAGCAAAGCAGTCTGTTTGCGCTACATCCACAAAAATTCATTCCTTCTACCACAGACACCCTCAGTTACAGCAGTGTGTACCATCCACAAGACGCATTGGAACAACTCATCAAGGTTCCTTCAACAGCATCTTCCAAACTGGTGATACTATAAGGATTGAGAAGGGCAGTAGACACAGTGAGCTCAGTGACAGCAGCACTGAAACCTCAAATGGAACCCTGCCAGAATTCAAAAAGGCTGGCAAAAGTGGCATCAGTTTAAAGCAGTGAGCTGTTTAATAGGTAATGGTTAAGTTGTATGTGACCACTTTAAAGTTGCATTGAGGACAGGTAAGAACTTTCTTTTTGTTAATAGAAACTTAATAAATTTTCTACTTGGCTTAAATGCAGCTTTTTTTTAAAAAAAAATACACCTTAAAAGGTATGGCAGCAGAGCTCAGTTGCTTGTGTTGCACAGCCTGCAGTACATTGAAAATACTAGAGGCCCTGGCAGTCCAGATGACCAATTCTGCAGGAAGTGCAGCCTGTTTGATCAGCCTGAGTGCCAGGCCTTGGAGCTTGAGCATCAGCTGGAGGCACTGCATTGCATCCATGAGGCTGAGAGTTATATGGATAATACATTTTTAGACATGGTCCTCTGCAGTTGAAGGGTAGTGTGGTCAGGTAAGGAATAGGTGACCATCAGTAAGAAAGGAAGCAGGCAGGGCCCAGAGTGCATCTCACTCAAGAACAGTTTATTTTATGCATGGAATTGACAAGGTAGATGCAGAGAGGATGTTAACAGAGAACTTGGGGCACAATATATAGACAAGGGATTTCCCTTTTAAGATGGGGTGACGAGGAATTTCTATTCTAAGAGGCTTATTGGCCTTTGAAATTATTTTCCACAGATAACAGTGGAGGCTGGATACTGAATATATTTGAGGCTGAGTTAGACTACTGTTTGATTGACAAGAGAGTCAAGGGAAAGGGGGAGGGGACAGGCAAAGTGAAGTTAAGGCCACAAATCAGATCAGCCATGATTGTATTGAATGGAGGATCAGGCTTGATGGACCAAATGGTCTTGTCCTGCTCCTGCTTCTAAAATCTGAATTGAGTAGTTTATATGCATTTAAAAGAGAAACAAGGCAAATATACAGTGGAGAAGGGAAGAGATGATTCCAGTGGTAGATTTAAATGAGAAAAAAATGGGAAGAGGTTCAAGTGGAGTGTAAGAGCAGGTTTGGTCAGGTTGTGCTATGTAGTCCTATGTACATCTGTTAAATAGACTTCTAATTATCCCAATTAGAAAGACAGGCTGAATTTGTTCAGAGAGGTTGCATTTTTGGATGAAACATTCTAACGGGATGGTTAATAATAGTTAATTTTCCAGTTGGCTGTTGGCTGCAAGTTTTATAAAAAGCAACCATGTTTTCTTTTAAAATCCAGTGGTCAAAAGTCCAAATGGAGTCCGCTTGTGAGTGGCTATACATGTATACAGCTTCTTTTTTCTTTAAGTACAGCTTTTCCATAAAGCTGGATCTAATTTTATGCAAAATAAAAATGAATTTGAAGAAAATTCTACAAGAATAGTACTTGGCGTAGGAAAACAAAACACATAAATCAAAAAGTAATGTCATCATTAAGTTTTCTTCAGCGCTTCATCAGTTTGAAGGTATGATGTATAGTGGTGAAAAGAAAATATTACCATAGAAATCTCAACTCATTTTTGTTGCCTTCCCAGTTATCACGTATTACTTGAACTAGTAAAATCCATCAGCAAATGAATACTAGAGACTACATACCTCTTTGTGTCAGTCCATTCATGTAGATGGAGTTCAACTGGGAATTTCTTTCGTCCTCTCCATACATGGGCCTGTTAAACATCCATGGTAACATACCCTGCTTTGCCTGTTTAACAAGTTCATGCCTTACAAGAGCTAAATTCGAAACAACAATGTTAAGTATTTTATTCAAAAACGTTCTTTGGTGAAGATTTCTGACAATATAAAGTTTCTAATAAATATATTATACTAATAATCTAAAACTGTTGCTAGAATTTTATTTCGATGCAAACCATTATGTTAGACCATAAAAGAAAAGCATGAAGATGCCGGATATTTGAAACAAAAACAAAAAGTGCTGCAGCATTCAGCAAATCAGGTAGCATCCACGGTGGGAGAAGCTGAGTTAATGAGCTGAATCTTTCAAGGTGTAGCTATCATAGTCAATTGCAAGCCAAGTCGAAATGGGAAATAAATACCAGCCTTCTTAAATGATGACTATGTCTGAAGAACAAAGAAACTAAACTCAAACTCTCAATTTTTAGGAATGTATCTGTAACTTAACTAATACATGACCATAGCCAATTATTCAATGGATTGACTGCTGAGCAATGTTGGGAAAGAGGCATTTTGTCAAAGCTTTTCATCTTACAATCATTGGTAAAATTTCGCAAGGATACCAATTCAAGAGGAAATCAGTTCAAGGGGAAAACTGACATCTATACAGTGACAGAAGAATCCCTGATTGGGTAGCATGGAAAATGCATAAGTTATTGATAATTGACAGTATACTACCTGGTCTTGTTAAAATGTTAAACCAGGCAGGTTGACTGAATCAGTGAATGGCATCACCTGTTTGATCAAGTTAAAACAGGCGCAGTGGATTTACATGTTCTTTCCGATCTGCAAAGAACAGTGCCCTGTGTATTTTCTTCAGCAATACTCGAGTCTGGTACTAGCATTGGTTATTTGGTTGATGTTGCAAATTTTTACAGAGTTAGCTACTTATTCAGGGGGAAGTCTGGAAAGAGCGATAATTAATTTTTAAAAATGCTTTACCTTCCTCTGGGCAACAACAACGTTTTGGGCAGCAGATGCATCGAAGATAACAGCAGCACCTTTGTGGGCAACACTGGCACCAACAGATACTAATCAATATGAACAATAGCAAAATGCCCATGATAATAAATATCACTGTAAGCCAATCTGCAACAAAAAGGAAAAAAGATAGGAATTATATTATTGTAGAAGAATCTGTTGCAAAGGAGGACTCACAGTATTAGGCTTAATGCATTAAGAAGTGCTCCTGTTACATTAAGTGAGGGGATGTATTTTCAACAGCTACTCCTTCATATTATACATGTACTTTATCAAAATGTTCCGCATTGAGTTTGTATGTAGTGTATATACATTCACAAGCACATGTTTGAAAGATTTCCAACTTAGGCACGCACCCTATCGGCGTTATTTCTACACATTGATGTGCAGTCAGTGTGGTCAATATCCTCTATATTGCTGCATTGTGTTAGAAAGGAATGCAGAATATCATAAATAAAATTAGTAATTGTGCGAGTGTTTCACTGATATTTTCCCAAAATACAAACATTCAAAACATATGCAAATATTGGAAGCTAACAGATGGTGACAAGAATGCTCCAAAGGCATTCAGCCGAAGATTTTCATATTATTAAAACAGTAATATTCTCAGGATCGAGCAGTTTAAAAAAAAAAATCATCTCAGATCTGCTGACAGCTGCAATACAGGGAAAGGGGAAGGGGAACTCAAGGGAGTTAAGGACAGCAGCGTGGGGGTCCTGATGGAGACGCAGGGTTATGGAAGAAAGTGCTAATGGGAGACAGTCTTTGGGGCAGGTTGGGGTTACGCAGTTTGGAAAAGAGATACTTGAGGGAAGCATCCATTTTATATACCTTTGATGGGAGAGTAGGGTACCCCGCTAGACTCGTCCTCCAGCCCAAACTCCACTTCTGAACTTGTTCTGCCAGCCTCAAAAATTGAAGTCAGGCAGGAAAGAGCCCTTAAGGGGGAAGGCCTCTTGCCTGTAAACTCAGCAGCAATGCCTTTAAATCCATCCCCAGAGTCACCTTTCCCAGAATGGTGATATTCATCAGTATTGATGTTATTTAAAATGTTGGCCTAGAGTTTTCTGTTGCATGGAAACTAAGGATGGTAGTTATTTCAACTTGTGCATCATCTTTCAACTAAAAATTAATCCCCCCCCAACTAAATTGTTGAAACTGCAAACTGTTAATAGTGTAGGAAACATGTCATCTCCTTAACCAAGAAGATTTAAGAATTAAATAAGCAGCATAAGGAGAGGGAAGGGGTGTGAATTGAGAGATAAATTTGAAGTCTCAAATCAGCTGCAGGTAACTAAATAAAAGGACAGGAAAGGAAAAACAATTTTTTAAAGTTGACATTTTAAAAATCTCCGACATCAATTCACAACATGAAAGATTGAGGGTCTACTCTTAAATATTAAATTTCTATGGCATAGCTATTGACTGGCAGATGTGAACAGCTATTATAGTCTTAAAAGGGTACTCACACATGTTAGACCTAAATATCTGCTGCAGTTTTAGTTCCCTTCTACCACAGAGATGCAGTAACAATAACTTCAAGACATTTCAAGATGGGCAGATAAAATTATGAAAATGGATTTTAATTTAATGGTAGAGTGGCCAATCATAGACAAATTATTTGGATATTCATATTTCTTTACCTGCCTCTTACTGAGGTTGCTATACCATTTACATCAATAAAAAAAGAGAACCATTATTTTGACAGAAACATAGGGGCCATTGTTTTATTGGCTCAGAAGGTAAATAGTTGTAGTTTGAAGGAAATATTAGAAATTTGACTACTTTCTTTGATGTAAGTCACCGATTACAGATTGATAATGGCACCTTTTCATACCCATTACTGCAACAATCAAGCAAAGACTTGAGCAAATCTTAAAATTTAAAATGATTAAGATATTATGCAGCAGATATAACTTCAGTCAAGTGACTTAGTTCTGGAAAAGGGTAATTTAGAAAGTGCTTAACATGCAAACAAATTTTAAAGAACATACGTAAAACAATAAGGCGAACTTCTTTGTCCGAATCTCCTGTAGTATCTCCTGGTGCCTCGACGGTACAGAAGTAAACACCATGATCCCACCACATCACTTCACTAATCCACAGGTCAGCCCCTACAAAGTAAGTATACACAGGGCGCATTACACAAAAATTGATCTAGATTTTCAAATCAGTATCAACTAATGACCGATTCAAAGCAATTTTCAAGAAATGAAGTGACACAAAATGTACTTAATTTCATTCTGGATCAGTAATGATGCTCCAGTGGTTGCTGCTTATGTGGACAAACTGAGTTCAAATACACAGAGTGCCGCTCAGCATCCTAAAGCAGATAGATATTGATTTCTCATCCATACTGGAGTAAAATGGACAATAGTTAACACTTTTCTCCAGATTCACAGACCAGCAAATCTGCTAAGCATGTTATGAGACTCAATGGCAACATAGCTGGCAAAAATTCCAGAGCTCAACCTTTTCTGGAGCAGTACATTATGATCATCACATCAGGATAGAGTCAAACATTGCTGGGGATACCAAGGGGTGGACGGCATAGAAAGAAGATGACAGTGGGAGTGTACTGAATGGTACGCAATGCAAGAGTCGTGACATTTAATAAAACAGCTTTAGGTAATATTGGGACACAAGTTAAACACCATTTACAACTCCTTAAATATGGAAGCAGTCCACGTCCAAATGAAACAAGACCTGGACAACATCCAGGTTTGGGCTGACAAGCGGCAAACAACATTCATGCAACAAGTGTCAGGCAATGACCACTAGTAGCATTACCATTACTGAATCCCCATTAGCATCATCCTGGGGTTAACACTGACTAGTAACTGAGCTGGGCTGGACATATAAATATTGTGCTACAAGAGCAAGTCAAAGGTCAGGATTCCAGCAGGGAGTAACTCACCTCCTAACTTCCCAAAACCTGTCCACTATCTACAAGGCACAAATCAGGAGTGTAGTAGAACATTCCCTTCTTGTCTGGATGGGTGCAGCTCCAACAACTGTTAAGATGCTTGACACCGTCCAGGACAAAGCACATTCCATGAATGAATAACAACAAAATAAAGTTCATCAAAGAATAGAACAGGTGGGACAAAGAAAAAAATTAAAAACTATTATTATATGAGGCTCATCAGGATCAGATTATATTTAACTTTCTTTTCATGGATATTTTTTAATAAAGGCAGGAGATTCCATTATGAAGTGACCCCTCCACAGCCCCACTCTCCAGACAGACAGGATTCAGAGATCTTGAAACACTTTTCCCAAACTTCTGCTGATTTTCCTACAACAAATCCTATAACTATTGTAATGCAAGTATTTTTCTATTTGTTAGTTTGCATTAAAACAACTGGTATGCTTCCATTGGCATTGCTCATAGTCTTAAGCCTACAATGCTGTTTTAATGCCTAACTAGTGCAATCATCATAGAAATTTAAAGGAATTGTATTTGATTCAACACTACTGAGACTGAAGACTTCATCAATGACAGATTTTCTTTTTAAAAAAAAGAACTATAGCTCCTGCAACAAAAAGGGGTGTGGAATATAGTAGATCCAAGACTTAAATCTAGTATCGTCTTATGATATCAATTAGGCAGTAATTTGCAGTAAAGTGGGACTACACTGAGTATCTTTCTCTTGTACTAATATGTGGCATTCTTCCACATACCGAGGAACTATTTCTTTACTAAGGACTCCCTGATTGCTATGAATTTAAACATGCATCAATATCCCATACAGGCCAAGAATTTAACAAGTGTTGTTCGAATGGGCAAGATCTTAGCAATGCTCAGCATGTTGACCCCAGTGCCTGTAAAACATAGGTGAAACTTTAGCCGGTTAGGACAGTCATGCGGTTGCACGAAAACCTAAGCAAATACTATATAATGACTGGTATAGCTTGCCCTCCCACTGATTGAAGTACATCTATTCTCAACGTGTTGCTTACTGTTCTGAATAGTAATCTTCCGTTGTCTATATTCGTGCCCCAATGTTGGCTCATTCTGTCCCCGTTTCTGAATAACAATTCGCACAGTCCGTTGGTCGTCATGGCAATCGTTGGTAGGATCTTGGCCCATACTCAACATAGCAGTATATGCTGGAAGAGAAAAGTAACATTTATAAAGAAAATCACCTATTTCTTTCTGTTCGACTCTCCTAAAATTAATGGTTAAATGGTTACACTAGCCTCAGCAAAACACTGGAATATGTAAATTCATATAGAGCATACTTCAACTGTCTTATAGACCACAGAACTACAACAATAGCAAGAGCAGCCATTCAGTATGTCATGTGTCTGTGCCAACTTGTTTGACATCCAAAATGAACCCAAAATGTCCTGCATGCTCCATCATTTTCAAATAATTTTCTAAATTTCTCTCAAATGATTCACTGATCACTGTCCCAAACCCTTAATGTTCTAGATTTCTTCATAGGTTTTGCTTCACTGACTTTCCATATGCAAATAGATTTCCAAATTAGCTTGACTAAATTCTGAACTTTATTTAAAATTACAAATACAATTACAATTTTTTTTAACACCTGCTAATTTCCAATCCCTCTAGTATATCTAACATACAATTAACATCTAAGGATCTACTTAACCTTAATCCTTAGATGGTTCTCACCAATTTCATGCACAGCTAAATATCGTTTTGATCTCATCAACAACCTGCCTTTTCATTGTCTAACTTAACTACTCTCACTGCAGAGCTTCTTGCATGACTAGAACTCTTCTCATCACATGAATAATTTCTGGTTTCTTTATACGACAAGTATTATCTAAACAGCGGTACATTAAGAAATGCTGATGTACAAAGGGACCTGGGTGTTGCACAATGGGTTAGTAAAAGCAAGTATACAGGTGCAACAAGTACTCGGGAAGGAAAATGATTTATTTGTCTTCGTAACATGAGGGCTCAAGTACAGGAGCAAGGATTTCCTACTGAAGGTGTGCCAGGCCCTGAAGAGACTACACCTGAAATGGTGTGTGTGTAGTTTTGGGCTCCTTACCCAAGAAAGGGATATCCTTGCAATAAAAGGGAGTGCAGTGAAGGGTTTCCAGATGGATTCCTGGATGGTGGGTTAGACCTATGGGGAAGAGATTGGGTAGACTGGGCCTGTATTACTGACTTCTAGAGAGAATGAGCTTAGAACTTACTGAAACATATAAAGTTCCAACAGGGCTGAACAGACTGGATGCAGGGATGATGTTTTCCCTGGCTGGGGGTCCAGAGGAAAGGGTCACAGTCTCAGGATTGTAGACCATTTTAGACTGAGATGAGGAGAAATATCTTCACTCAGGAGGGTGGTGAACTTGTGGAATTAATTACCAAATAAGGGTGTAGAAGCCAAATTACCAAATACATCCAAGAAATAAACAATAGATTGCTAGAGGCTAAATATATCATGGAGTATGGGGAGAGTTAGGAGTATTGCATCGAGACAAGAGGATCAGAAGGGCAGAGTGATGAACAAACAAGCTAGAACTGAAAGTGCAAGGCTTTTCCTAAAGGTACCATTTTAACATGTGCATCAGTGTGGGTTAATAAGTATATTTAACGGTTCCTAAAACAGGATCAAAAACTAGTTCTAGTAATTATATTGGAGACCTCTGCTCTATCTGCACATGTGCAATATATATGATCATGGGTAGGTGATGGCCCAGTGGTATTATCGCTGGACTGTTAATCCAGAGACCCAGGGAGTGGTCATGGGGACCCGAGTTTGAATCCTGCCACAGCAGATGGTGGAATTTGAATTCAATAAAAAAAAAAAAATCTGGAATTAATAGACTAACAATGACCATTAAACCACTGCGGAATGTCAAGAAAAACCCATCTGATTCACTAACGTCCTTGAGAGAAGGAAACTGCCATCCTTACCTAGACTGGCCTGCATGTGACTCCAGACCCACAGTAATATGGTTGACTCTCAACTGCCCTCTGGGCAATTAGGGATGGGCAAGAAATGCTAGCCGAGCCAGCAATGCCCAAATCTCATGTTGCTATTCCTCTTGAGACAATTATCCACAGTATATTTTAAAATAACATTAAGATTTTGTTTTTATAAAATTTGCCATTTTGGTCCCACTTAAATTTTCCTGCCTTGCTGGAAGTTTTCTCTTGCTGTGTATTGCACTTCAAAAATACTGCTGACCTTTGCACAGAGACAGCAAAGGTTGGCAATAATTACCAGGACTAGTTTTCGATCATGTTTGAGGAACTGCTAAATATAATTGCTTAACACATAGATTCACATGTTAACATGGCACCTTTAGGAAAAGGCTTGCACTTTCAGTTCTCCTTCACTCTCCCCTTGTGATTCCATGTGACTATCACATGTTTAGTTCAGCTTTGAATGCACGCCCAACCAACATCTAGTCAGCTACCTACTTGTCTGGAACTCATTGAAAAAGCAATAACTCGAACACAGTTGTTAAAAACCAGTTTAAATCAAGCTGCAGTCTCCTTTATCTCCTTTTCTAAAGAAAAAAAGAATGCTTTTGTTGCATTTTTGCACATCACTAAATCCCCTTCCTCTAGTTTCCCTTTATAAATCATTCACTATTATCTTACTCCACTTTGTGCTTACATTTTACATCAGCAAATGTAAAACAAAATGTTTGCACTCCAAATGACAAAGTTTTAATGAAAGACGGGTTTGCCAACTCTGATCCTAAACTTTCCCAGAATTAAACACCTTTCTTCAATACATGGCCAAAAGCAACCCATGAGAGAAAATAACGAGAACAATAACTAATTGCCCTTAAAAACAAAAAGCTGTGGAACAGTTTTGTTCACTGGTTACAAACATTGAACAAGTCACAAATCATCTAAAAATCAATGACATCAAAGCAATTTTCACAGGAAGTCACTGCACCACGGAGATAGACTTGGGCTACAACGAGTAGAGGTGAGGTGGTTAGCAGTGGGATATTGAGAGATAAAATCTATGGGAATATGTCCAACTGGAATCGGAAACTCTAATCAATCATGAATCATCTAGGCACTTAAACATATTTCTACTTAGAGCAGATAATTTACAAAATTCAGGACTGCTCAACATTTATTTTAAAATCTAGTACAAGGTTGTGAGCTGTGCTTTACAAATACCAGAAATCTCCTATTAGAGTACTTTTCTATGATTGCGCTATGATTTAAAATGGGCACTGATTAGATCTGTGCATCCTCAACCAGTTATCCCCCAGGCCTCTAATCCCAGATTGTATCAAGTGCAACAACTTGAATTGGTACAGTGCCTTTACGAAGTGAAACATCCTGAAGTGCCTTTCCCCTGAAGACTACTCTTAGTTTAGACTCCATCTGTGCAAATCCATTGGAGATGGTACAACATTTTTATTTCGTCCACATACCCCACATTACACACAAAAAAAAAATCTCACAAACTGTAATTTCTCCTGCTTGAGTTACGTAAAATTTGAGATTCAGGCTCTACCAACTAGCATAATATTTTGCTTTAGTGAATTTAAAATAGAAAATTTCCAGAAGTCAATTTCATTGCAATGCAAATATTCACGACTCTTTTCGGTTTAATTATATTTCTGTATCTCTTCAACCCTGATTTTGCATCATATCATTGTTCCACTGGCTATCCTGAAATAAAATATGACTGCCGAAATTCTTGGCAACAAAATGAAAAAGTAAAAATACATTTGCTTGTGTAATTCATTTTTGTCAATCTGTTGTCAGTTCAGAATTTTTAAAGTTTGTCATATCTGGAGCCTGCAGTGGAGCTCTCAGAACTCTCAAATGAATGGACAACTTTACTAATTTCTTCTTTTTTGATAAAAATGGACCAACAGAACAATTTGCGTTTATACGGTTTCCCATTAATACACAAAAATGTCCCAAAATGCTTCACAAATAAATTATCAAAAAGTTGACAATGTATTCATTATATAGTCTACTATAGCAATCATTTGACACATACCAAATCATAAGATTAGTTACACCACAAAATAGCATTTGCTATGTTTAATGAGAAACATTGACGAGGATCCTTGGAGAATTCCCCACCTGTCCTCAGATAGTATCACCTGAATGACTGAAACAAACCACATTTCATTGAAGTATATCATCTCAGCAATGAAGAACTCCTTCAATTATTGTATTGGAGTGTCAGCCTGAACCACATTAAGTTCCCAGAGTGAAATTTGAACATTCTGATTCAGCTAAGAATATTGCCAACTATGTCAAGTTGTTAATAGAACCTGTTAAATTTTAGAATTATTGTAGATCTGAGATAATTATTTATATTCAAAGTCACATACTACATTTCCATTTTTAATATCTCCTTTTGTTAAAACACAACATTTAATGAAATAATGCCTGCAACTTAAAAGTCTAATGCATAAACAGATATAAAAAGCAAGCTGCAGGACAAATTCAATTATTGCATATTCAACCTTATTCTTATTACTAACCAGTGAAATTTAAAATTTCAAGAAAGATGCAAACATTTGAAATTTATATGTACTTGTAATGATAAATAGAAACACTATTTAAGTTTGAAGTATTGGAATAAAGGACCACAGGGCATGATCCTAACTAAGGAATACTGTTTGTACATTTTTGTGCTGCAATTCCACTTTCTCACATTAGATGGTATTATTGGACAGTTGACCATTTATTACAGAAGACAGTTTTTATTGTTACTAAGTGACCCACTATTTTATTTCATGTAGGAGTGGGTTTCCTCAATAGACATTTTGCAAGAACACAAAGACAACTGGTGTGTGACTTGAATAAAATAGATTGTAAGCAAGCACGAACTATATAACAATGAAGGAGGCGAGCATGATAATGATCTCACATGTTACAGGACCAGCAGGCCATTTATGTTTTAGAGCTTGTGCCACATTTTCCCTCAAAAAAATGAACAGTTACAGTATCTTAGAATTCAACAATGGGAGTTCTGATGAAGGTCATCAACTTGTTAAACACTAGCCTTGTTTTTTTGTTGACAGATGGAGCATGACCTGCTGAGTACTTCCAGCATTTCCAATATTTATTTCTGATTTCCAATATCCACAGTACTTTGTATTCATTTATGAAAATTTACTACCTGGGCTCATAAGATTTGTCACTTAAAAAAGGTATCAGAGATCACTGGTATCAAGCAAAACAAACAATGCCACCACGAGAGAGGTGAAAATAAGGTCTTAAATCCATTCTTCCTGATGTGGGGTCTTTAGTATGCATTTGTTAAGAGTCAGTATACGACGTAGCAATAGGACTTTGTTTCAATACTTGTCACAAAATGGATTATAAAATGTTAAATACCCAGTTTTCTCAACTTACTCAAAGCTTTAAAAATTAACTATAGAACTACATCAAATTGATAAAATAAAGTATTACATTTAAAAGTTGCTGAACTATTCTTTCAGAGTCCAGAGGCAGTAGAAATGCCAAAAGAACAATTGAGAAATGTTGAACACTTACATGAAGAATAGTACTCCATGACGGGATCTTTGCAAAATGACTTGAAACGCCAAGTGACTACAACATCCTGAGACTGAGAGGATGTTGAATAATCACATCTTAGAGCAATGGATGAAAAAAGCATTGTGACACGTTGGGTTTCCTGCACCGTCACCAACAATGCAAGGCATGCTGAAAGAAAAGGTTACAGGTAGTCAACAGAAGAGCTCTGTGAAGACTAAAACATTAAACTGGTAGCTACTTTGGTTTGAAGTAAAGTGCATTAAAATCATACAAATGGTACAGAAATAGGATAATAACAAAACATATTTGCTGGTTAATAACTCCTGAAGTGATGCTTCCATTAGTGTGCCTCAAGAATCACACTATCTAATTATTGGTAATGGGGTTTTGCACCCTGACTGGATGCAGAGTCTGCCAAGTCTTCAACAGATCACGGAGTAACAGTCTGGGATGCTACGGAGTGTGGAGGCACAAAACATCGGTCAGATGGAAGAGGTCAAAACTGTTTCATTAACTGACTGGGCAAATATTTCAGAAATGCCCATTATAGGGATAATTCAGGGAAATCAATGGCATTGTTTTCCCAATGCTATGGATTCCACTTGGAAAGAATATCTGTTGGATGATCTCAGAAGCTGAATGTTTGTAACCTCTATAGAAACAAAAACGTACTGAATATTTTGAACACATATTTTGAGGGGTTACTTTTGAATTGTGCACAGAAGATTGTAACATTCCAAGAAAGTCAACACTGGATTGAAAACTAAAAAATTGCCATATCACAAAGGAATTGCTAAGGGAGCAAAAATGACAGGTCCAACTTTGTGATCATATAATTTTCACAAATGGTAAAAGAATAGCAATGTTAAAATTCAATTAAGTGGAGAACAATATTATACAAGTATGTCTCTAGTCCATCCTAGTTTCTCAAGGGTACCCTTTACTGAAACAATACTTGGGTAGGAATGCAACTGTAAACGGCCTTTTGGTTAGAAGATCCATATATAAAAATGTACAAATCCATTCATTTGCTTACATATGAAAAGAAACATTAAAAATGCCAGCCTTTTCTGTCCAGTTTTGAACGGTCAAGATTACTTGACAACCAATCACAAACTAGATGTGCCATTACATCAAATGATATGGTATAGACAGGGTATGGTCTGCTTTTGGACCTAACAGACCAGAGATAAGAAAGTAACTACATGTAGCAGCTCTTAGGGCAGTGGAGGTTATGCAGTCATAATGATATAAAGCACGTACTACTGATTTTCAAATTCCATCATCCGATTTAATATCAGAAATTTCATGGACTTGAAATGGTTTAAACAAAATCTAAAAACACCGATTTAAAACAGCCAGAGTATCGCCTATTGTTTATTTAAACCTTTACTGAGAATGTTGATTGTTGGAGAAACTGCAACAACCAAACTCAGAAATGGAAATTCAGCTGCTTGTGGCAGAAGAGAGAAGGTAGATTTTTGACTGCAGAACTGAAACCAGCTGAGAGAAAAAAGAAAATGACTGTCAAGAAAACACGTTCAGTCATAATATGGATTTTAAGAAAAGGCCATGTTTGCTTACACTAAAGGTGCATGCATGCTAAAGCAACATTTCTGAAGTAAATTGAAATAAAACAAGGAAAAAAACTTAAACACTTAAAAATAAAAATGATAGTGTATGTAGCTGAAGAGAAAGTGACTTAAAATAATATCTTAATTTTTAAAAGTCTTTACACAATGCATGTGTACTTGCATTTCCAAAATTACAGGTCAGCACCATGGTTGGAATTTATAATGCTGGTAATCAGCAGACATTTGAGTGTATGGGGAGTTTGCAAACTGGGGTGTGTGCGCGCATGCACTCACACATGTGGGGGGGCAGGAGGATGAAAAACATGCAAGCTATATTGTGGATGTTTGACATCACATCCTTATTGTTTTCTTCAGGATTAGGTTATACAATTGCTCTCTCTGTCCCAAGAAAACCCTTGAGTGGCTCCTTACTAACATGGTAGGAATTAGGTACAGGGGGTCCTCAATTAAAGTTGTGGCTGCATTCCTGAAAACCATGATTTAGCAAAAATTACTGTGTGTTAACTATGGCTTCCCACGGAAATCAATGTTAAAGGTAGACTGAAATTACTTTAGACATTTCTCATCCAAACAAAAATTCCATCTAATAGTTGAAATACATGTGCAATACTGCATTCCTTGCTGTAATAACTTGCAAAATTGATGCATCACTAAATACAGGAAGACATATTACAATGCTTAGAAACACATGCAACTTTAAATTGACCAGGCCCCATCCCAGAAACTACTTGTATGACTGACACCTGCTACTAGATGGATGCCAGGGAGTCAGTGTAAAGTCTGGATTGAAATCAAGTTGTTTTTGTTATATAATATTGCGAGGTCTATTGGAGAACAGAGGTGGGCCTTTTAACTAGCCCTGTTCCACGCCATACTCTATCAAACTGTCAAAACGCATTGTGAACCTCACCTGTGTGTACAAAAAATACAGTAGTCCTTGGCTAATGTCACACAGAGGTCAGGTGTACATTTCGAAAGACACAAAAAGGGGTGACAGTTGGGTTTTACAAGGCCTACATGAAAATCTAGGCCATGCACTCTCCAGGTGGTTTAATTAATCACTTATAAATTGCCCTTTGACTTCCATTCCAGATGCTATTCTGGCAACACACTATAAACACTGAAATAAACAGTCAACTAGAGTCAGAACCAGAGTGAAGGGTTGAATACGGGAATTCTACAAAATAAATGTGCCTGATTTTGCTGCATAACACATTCTAAGTGAAAGCTGTTCTCACTTTAAAGCCTAAGTTATTGAATGCAAAATTGCAAGCTTTGAAACAAAAGGACAAGTTCACAGATGCATAGAAAACCAAATCAAACATTGTGTGTTTTAAAAAGTATATTTGAATGTCTGGTGAAAGGTACTTCAAATTCCACTAGCACTAACAGAAATTTCAGCTCAAATATAGTTCTTGGTCAGGTGATACTAATCCCAAACGTTCTGTCAACATAAAACATACAAATAAAGGATAAAAGTAGAAAAACAACTACATGCTTGGATATTTGATGACCTTCACGCCCACAAAGAAAAATAGCAATTGTTGAAGAAAAAAAAAAAATCTGCTTTGGGGAAGGAGACTGCCATCCTTACCCAATCTGGCTGAAGTGACTCCAGACCCACCAGCATGGTCGTTGCTTCTTATCTGCTCTCTGGGCAATTAGGGATGGGCAATGAACGCTGGCTTAGGCAGCAAACACTTCATCCAGTGAATGAATAAAAAATAAATAAATAAAAAAGACAAACATTCAATTAAAGGAGGAACAAAACTTCACCAGAGTGGAAAGGCAATGGTCTAGTGATATTATCACTGGACTGTTAATCCAGGGACCCAGATAATGTTCTGGGGACCTGGGTTCAAATCCCGCCATGGCAGATGGTGGAATTTGAATGTGAATTTGATAAAATATCTGGAATTAAGAGTCTAACGAAGACCATGAACCCATTGTCAATTGTCAGAAAAACCCATCTGGTTCACTAACGCCCTTTAGGGAAGGAAGCTGCCACCCTTAGCTGGTCTGGCCTACACGTGACTCCAGACCCACAGCAATGTGGCTGACTCTGAACTGCCCTCTGGGCAATTAGGGATGGGCAATAAATGCTGGCCTAGCCAGCAACGCCCTCATCCCCTGAATGAATTTTTAAAAAAAGTCAAGTTTAACTGTTGAAGCCTGTGTTTACCTGGTCTGGTCTACATGTGACTTCAGACCCACAGCAATGTGGTAGATATTAAATTCTCTCTGAAATAGCCTAGCAAGCCAGTCAATATCGACCTAGGCGTTGTGAAATGACAATGGCTGCGTCAACCCTGCAAAGTCATTCGTAATACCATCTTGAGATTTTTAACCAAAGCAGAGAGCTGTAGCACAGACTAGTGAAGCAACAGTCCAACAGTCACACTCACAAAATTATACCTTACAAATAAATATCCCAGACACCACCAGTGTCTGGGTGCAGCCTATCCTACCAGAGCTGGCAGCATGGTGTATACAGTCAGGCGGATGTTGCCTTGGGAGTCCAAAACATTGACTCTTGACCACATGAAGTCTCACGGCATCAGGAAAAGAACAAACAAAGGAAACTTGCTACTGATCATCACCTCCACCCAAACTGCACTTGCCCCTTCCACCTCAGCTGGCAAATCAGCACTCCTTCATACCTGACTCCAACTGGAAGCAGCACTGGGGGGAACAAGGGCACTTAATGTATGCAGAATGGTCACGTTCATTATCAAGAGTTGCTCGATAGCATCAGTGCTGACCAAGTCCAAAGGGAGGTAACTGCTAGACTTTTGTTTTTATTTATTTTTCCATTAATGGGATGAGGGAGTCACTGGCTAGGCAGCACTTATTGTCCATCCCAATCATCAGACTGGATTGGCAGAGGGCGGGATATGGAGTGAATCAAAAAAGAAAAAACCCATTTCATCTTGTCCTCACTAAACTACCCATTGCAAATGTACACAGTTTTTGTAAAGATGAAGTTCAAGCCTTGTCTTCACATTGGTGATGCCTACCATCCTGTTTCATGTCGCAACCATGATAAACAGGATATACTTGGAACAGATCTCTTAGACCAAAACCAGGCATCCATAAGGCACTGTAGCTCCTCCACAACAACAAACTCATTCAAGCACAATCTGAATCCTCATGCCATGACATTTATGCCACTTTACCATTACCATCAAACTGGAAGATTAATCCTGATTCAACAAAGAGTGCAAGGGGTTTACGGAGCAGCACCAAGCATATCTAAAAGTGAGGTGTCAACTTGGTGAAGCTGCACCAAAGGACCACTTTTATGTCTACACTGCATGCATCATGCAACAGGTGGGTGAAGTGATCCCACAATCAACAGATAATTTCAAAGCTCTGCAGTCCTGCTACCTTCGGTGTTAAATAATGGTGGATAAGTTACAAGAGGAGACAGTTCCACAAGTATCCCCAAACTCAATAACTGGGGTGGCAAGCATATCAGTGCAAAAAGACAAGGCTGAAGCATTTACAGAAGTGCCAAGTAGATGATTCATTTCAGCCCCTAAAAAAGGTCCACAGATGCCACTCTACAGCCAATTTGATTCACTCCACAGGATATCATGGAATGGCTAAAGACACAGGATACTGCTAAGGCCATGGGCCCTGACAACATCCCAACAAACAATACTGAAGACTTGTGCTCCAGAACTTGTTGCACTTCTAGCCAAGCTGTTCCAGACAGCCAAAACACTGGCATCTATGGAACGATGTCAAAAACTGCCGAGGTATATCTGGTCCCCAAAAGACAGGTCAAATCCTACTTGGCCAATTACTGCCCTATTGGTCTAATTTCCATTAGCAACAAACCAATGAGGGAGATAATTGAAAGTGCCATCAAAATAAAAGCATCACATTCAAAGGAAGAACCTGCTCCCTGATGTTCAGTTTAGTTTCCACCAGAGTTATTCAGCTACTGACCTCCGTACTGCCTTGGTCCAAATATGGGAAAAAAAGAAAAGAAAAGAACTTAACTGTGCAAGCAAAAGTAATTGCCTTTTCTATTAAGGCAGCATTTGACAAAGTGTGGCATTAAGGAGCTGTAACAAAATGGTGTCAACAGGAATCAAGGGAACAATTCTCCACTGGTTAGTCTTACCTGGCACATAGGATGATGGCTGTGGTTATCGGAGGTCATCTTGTCTAGCAGACCAAGTACTTCAGCTATAAAGAACAGAGGCTAATAATTTTGTGGTGATTATCTTACCTTCTTTCACTTCAAAGATATCTACAAAACACAAGTCAGGGTATGATGTAATACGCTTCACTTGCCAAGAAGAGTGCAACACCAATAATACTCAAGAAGCTTGACATCATCCACTTGATTGCCATTCCTGTCCATTATCTTCAACATTCACTCCCTTCACCATGATGCACAATAACAGCAGTAATGCATTACTTACAATCACTGTGGCAACTCACCCAGGCTCCTTCAACAACACTTCACAAACCAATGACTTCTATCACCTAGAGCAACAAGGGCATGGAAACACCATTTGTTGAAGTACTCCTGTATCCCACATACTATCGCTGTAATTTGGTCAAAATTCTGGAACACCCTTCCTAATAGCACTGTGGGTTTTACCTACAGCACAGGCACCAGGGACCTGGATTCGAATCCAACCTTGGGTGACTGTGTGGAGTTCCCATGTTCCACCCCTATTTACATGGGTTTCGCTGGGTGCTCTGGTTTCCTCCCAAAGATGTGCAGGATAGGTGAACTGGTGATGGTAAACGCAGGGTTATGGGGATAGGGTGGGTCTGGGTGGGATGCTCTTTAGAGGATCTGTGCAGATTTGATGGGCTAAATGGCCTCGGAGAGAAAAAAAAAAGATTCTATGATTCTCTAAAACCCAAGGACTTCAGCACTTCAAGAAGGCAATTCATCACCCTCTATGCAAGGGCAATTAGTGATGAGCAATAAATGTTGGCTTAGCTACTGATGTTCACAACCCACAAGTGAATAAAATAAAAGCAACCCAGTAAGGCAAAAATGGTTCAATAATGACCCAGTACAATGCCTTCAAGACACAGGGAACAAATGGTCCAGTCAGTATTGAACCAATCTCATTGGCAATGTTACGAGAGCGAGAGCGAATCTCAAGCACCTGTCCTCAGTGCCTGGAATCTAAATCTTCAATTGCCAGTTGATATGTTCAAGACTACATTAGCTTAGATAGAAAATAAACAGCTTGGGTTGCGTACAAAGTGCAGTGAGGGATAAGGGCAAGCTTCAAGCAAGTATAGATTTAGAGGGTGAGGAACATCAATTCAGAACTAGTTTCAGTGCTGAATCAGCATGTTCATTTAATATAAATTGCACACCCTCACCTCACTACGCACACATTGAAATTCAACTGTGGCATGTGCGTCACTCAAACACATCATGCCACACTTACTCACAAACATCTTTCTCATTTGCAGTTCACGGTCCGAAGTCACACAACACCAGATTATAGTCCAACAGGTTTATTTGAAGTCACAAGCTTTCAGAGCACGGCCTCTTTGTCAGGTGAAATGACTTACCTGATGAAGGGGCTACGCCCCGAACGCTTGTGATTTCAAGTAAACCTGTTGGACTATAATCTGGTGTCATGTGATTTCTGACTTTGTCCACCCTAGTCCAGCACCAGCACTTACACATCATGGCAGTTCAAGGTGACAGATAGATAGATGTTCCCAGCAGTCAATGGGATTGGAGGAGAGACTACACCACACCTTCTTCCAATGTTGAGAATTAAACAGGCCATCAGTGATGCTGCCCATGGCTAGCAGTATCACTAAAGCCATTCAGAATGAGGATATCCTACTGCATCTTATCAAATTTCACTACTAAAGGCAATAAATCGTGGGCTATCAATAGCTCACAAAAAAGTGATGCAATGAAATTTGCAAAATACCATATGCAGTTGAATTCTGAATTTTTCATATTTCTGAAGTTAACAAAATACAAAGGCACAAGTCTTAAATGTTGTATAGTATTACAAAACAAAAATTTCAAAGCTCAGAAAATATTTGATCAATGCTAACACTAACCTCTTGTGGTTACGGTGTATTCTGAACCTTGAATTATTTATTGCCTTAAATCAAGCACTCCTAGACACCAGCTTTTCTAGGTTATTTACTGGTTTAGTAGTAACAGACGTAAACAAATAAACCTTCAATTCATTACTGGGAAATCAGCACAATGTATGAAAGAAAGCCAAGTACACCACTGTGTAGTTACTTCTGTTCTTTCATCAGTGAGCAGAATAGAATATTACAGTTCAAAGGTTTTTAATATAAATTGGCATATTCCATGTGCTAAGAAGACCATTCAAGTTAGATTTTTCAAAATATTCAAAAAGAAACTGGAAATGGTTGAGCTTTAGCAAGTCATTTCAGGACTATTCCTATGTCAGTCAGTAATTACGCAAGCATGGCAAAGGAGTCAATACAATATATTCCAGTAATAAGAAAAATTAGTGTATCAAAAGGCCACAGGTGAGGAAGAAGACCTTTTCAAATTGACAAAACTGCTATTTAAGAAAAAAAAACAGTTGGGAATATCCCAAATGAAACCATTGTTGAAACTGAGTCCATGATTGCTTACCTTCTTTATATAAAAAGGTTAAGTTTTTGTTTTAAATGCATAGATTCCAAACTAGACAAACAGTCCGTGAACCCTTAAATTTTAATAAATTACATTATAACATCTGGCATTCTGGTATAAAAAGAAGGTATAAAAGCCTCACAGTGCAATGGAGTCAGCATGTGTTCAGTAATGAGTAAGCACAAGATCCGGTAAGGTCTGTGATATTACGGCAACGTAAATAGCTGGCATTATTAATAAACTTCAACATTTATCTCACCAGAACACAGTCTTTGTGGTATATGACACACAAGTTAACATATAGAGTAGCACTCAGACCACATGACAATGGCAGTGGTGTATGCCCAAGAAATTATATCATAATATATACTTTATAAACTAATATTACAAGCCAAAAACAGGAATGATGAAGCAGAATGGAACAATTAGTTTAGAAGCCCAATGTTACTTCAGGGCGTGCATTCAGTACTGGAGTGGTGATGTAGTGTGCTCTAGGTCGTTTTAATCCATTGGTCCCACTTGCAGTTGCAAGGATAATCCCTTGCCTAACTACCAAACCAGAAAGAAGAATCTGGAATCCTGGGTTATGAAGAAGGGTCGGTGAACTGAAATAGTTAACTCTGTTCCATAGATGCTGCTTGACCTACTGAGGAGTTTCTCTGAAAATTTCTGTTTGAGAGAGAGAGAGAGAGAGAGAGAGA